CCCAGCCCCTGGGGCATGCTGAGCTGGTGACTGAGTCCAGACATGGTGGTACATGCGTGTAATCCCAGCACTGGGGAGGCTGAAAACAGGAGGATCATTATGAGTCCAAGCTGTGTAGTGAGACCCTGTACCAAATACATAAATGGAAAAAAAAATAGTAGTATTTGAAAGTAGTACAGGAATTGTAGCAATCACTATATATATAAGGTTGTAAAAAAAAAAAAAAAAAAATCAAGTGTGCTGCCATTAATTAGCAATTCTTCCCCTGTAGAAAGCCTGGATTCACACAAAAGCCAGCTTGGATGTAAAAAGGCAGTAAGACGTTTGCTTCTGTCCCAGACTGCCTTCAAGGACTGTGCCTTTATTTGACATCAGCTGCACCACACAGCACTGAGCAAGACAGTGGAAAAGACGTCTCTCCTTGGGGCCGGGGAGATGGCTCAGGGGAATAAGTGCTTCCCTGGCAAGCGCAAGGGTCTGAGTTCAATCCCCGGTTCTGCCAAAAAAAAAAAAAAAAAAGACATCTCTCCTTATAGCTACACATGGATGTTGCTCACTGTAGGTGCCTACAGTCTAAACAGTAGGAAGGACCCCCCCCCCATACTTGTACATTTTGCCAGGTCAGGAAAACTTTTTATGACTACATAATTGAAGGGTTACTGGAAATTGTTTTTCAGGATTTTTGTGTGTGTGTGTGTGTGTGTGTGTGTGTGTGTGTGTGTTTTAGGGAAGGGTCTACAGGGTGTTCAAGGTCTCACTACTAGACCTGACTCGTAGTGATCCACCTGTTTACAGTCTCCCAAGAGCTGGGATTACAGGTGTGCACCACCTCCCCCAGTTTCCATTGCCTTCTCAGTGTGCCTTCTCAGATTGAACTCCTGGCCCCTGCACCTGCTTGCAGGTGCTTTAAGCCACTGAGCTATTTGGCCGGCTCTTGACCTTTTTATAAAAATTACTTATTTCTTTGGTGATGTGTGCCTATTTTCTTTTTTGTTTGTTTGTTTGTTTGTTTGTTTTGAGGAACCGTGGATTGAACTCAGGCCCTCGCGCTTGCCAGGGAAATGCTTAATCCACTGAGCCATCTCCCCGGCCGTATTTTTTTCTTTGGTACAGGGTCTCACTACACAGCTTGGACTCATAGTGATCCTCCTGTTTCAGTCTCCCCACTGCTAAGATTACAGTCATGTGTTATGGGTCACTCAGCATAGAAACCAGATCAGCCAGATAGGAATTTGAATATAGAGCCTACATTACTGAGCTCAGGGCTGTCAGTCAACTCTCATGTGGGAGAAGACTGAGCGACAATCCAACGCAGGTAGCAGGGCGTATTTATAACAGCAATCACGTCCAGTTTGGTACGCGAATTTGTTATCTAGCGCAGAACACTATTCATTTGACACAGCTGCAAACTGCTTGTAACTAAGGGGTCTTTTACAGGTTAGTGATAAGGGCATATTTTCACAAGATACATTTTAAGCTATGTTTACAGGAGACAGTTAGGGAGGGAGTTTGCTTCAGCCCGCTGTCTTGACAAGAAACAGTTATTCACTGTTAAATAGCCTTGAGCAGAGAGTGAGAACTCATTTCTTAGATAACAGGAAGCACAAGGTTTTTTTTCTAATAATTCCCCACAGTTAAAACACAAAATTCAGTTAGCCCATTATATCAGGTACCATCACACCCAGTTTTAGTGACCTGCACAGCGTGGCATGTGGTACCAGCGATCAAACCTGCATCCTTGTATTTGCCAGGCAGGCGCTTTAGACCACCAAACTATTTCCTCAACCTAGGCACTTGGTTCTTGATTCTCAATATAAATCTAACTAAAATCAACCAACAGTCACCATGTCACGGCCTCAACATTCGACTGCCTTGACATTTTTTCTGCCATATTAAGTGGCCTACTGCTCTTAATCTCAATCTCAGGCAGTCTCTGGACACAAGCAAAATGTAGACAAATGTAAGGATCCATTGGTCTCACTGTGATTGGTTCTACCAGGGGAGAAATGGCAGCAGGCATGAGAAAAGACAGAGAAGACAAAAGCTGGGCTAGGTGGTCACTGATCTGCCTGATAGGCAAGACTAACAAGCCCCACAACAAAACCTTTATTTATACTTTCGCATTTAGTAACACAAGGTTGCGTTGAGACTAATAGCTGACCTTACCCAGACAGGATGTTTATCTCAGGAGTGAGGAAGCTTGTTTGCTTTGGGCACTGAGGCCTAGTCCCACCTACACACTTTTGATCAATTTCCTAGCTTCTCTGGCTCCCAACAGACAACTTCATCCCAATCCACAAAACATACTGTCTGGAGTCCAACAGCCACTGCAGTCCCTCTTCCCAACAGAAATCTCCTGAGCCTGGTCTTTCTGGCAGGATTCCTATCAGCCTCTAGTCTTCTGAGCGCTGACCAGACTATTCCGTACAGAGCAGCCTAAATTCTTCCAGGTCCACGTTCTCAGCCAGCATCTTAAAATCATTTCAAACTCTTCTCACAAGCCAGTCCCAAAGGTTCCTACATGGTCAGGTACCATTGTTGCAACAACCCTACTTCTCTGGCATTAACTTGTCTTAGTTACTTTTCTTTTGTTGCTGAGACAAAATACACAACACCCACAAGTTAAAGGAGGGAAGGTTTATTTAGCTTACAGTTACTGGAGGTTTTAGTCCTTACTCAGCCGGCTGCAAGGCAGAGTGCCACATGGCAAAGATCAAGAGAGCAAAAGGAAACAGGAGCAGCTCAGGCAGTTTGCTAGCCTCAGTCCCCTCTTTATATAGTAATGCAAATTACCTGTCCCAGGGTGGGTGCAGCATCCACACCCACAATAATCACAAACTCCAGAAACTGCCCCACGACTACATGAAGCTTCGGGGTGATACCTAGACACAAACCATAACATATACCAAACTTGACAGCCACTGTAGACAAATAACATAAATATATCGCTTTTTTTTTTTTTTTTTTTGCAGAACCAGGGATTGAACTCAGGCCCTTGCGCTTGCCAGGGAAGCACTTATTCAACTGAGCCATCTCCCCGGCCCAATATGTCAGTCTTTACATGGAGGTTTTCATAGTCTGGTGTAAAAAACACACATAGATAATTATGGAACATAATAGGTGCTATAATAAAGGACACCAAGAAAGGTCTCACTGAAGATGTGAGTTCTGTATGGACTTGCATGTGATGCTGAGGTGAAGGATGAACATGGTGGGTAACGAGGACAGGCTCTCTAGGGAGGGAAACAGCGGGGCATATGCACCATGTGGAGAAGGGACCAGGAAATTAACCCAGCAACCAAGTGTGGTCAAGGCTCAGGTATGCAGTTGGACGGACAATGCTGCGACGGCAAGTGCCCTTAGATCCCCGGGAGCTTTCATGCCATCCTGAAGACTCTGAAGTTACTCTGGAGATGAGGGGAAGCCACTGGGAAGTTTCAAGTTAGGTCATGACATTTTCAGATTTTTGAACATTATAAGTGTAGGAGACACTTCCAGGTCCTTGTCTTGGTCCAAGAAGTATTTATAATCCCAAAGTTACGTTATTGGAATCCCATCAAGTTGATTCCAATCTACCACTTACAATGCAACCCACGGCGAAAATAAAGACACTAAATTATATTTTCAATCATCAGGGAGTCAAGGGGCTCTATGTCCAGCCACGAAGATGGCTGTCCGGAACCAAGAGCAAGACCCTCACCCGGTTTTTATTCAGTGGGGGAGTGGCTTGAGGAGGATTGACTGAGAACTGCGGGAAGTAGGTGAGCATTGTGAGCCGAGCTAGGTGGGTGGCCTACATTTACCTAAGGCCAGGTGATAAACAGAAGTCCTAGCCAGCTCTGTACATAGGAAATAGGGTCAGGCTCAGTCAAAATGGAGAAAGTCGCTCTTCTTTCAAGGAGGGCTGCTCAGGTGGTCCTCCACAATAGGATTGTGGGTGATCTAGAGGGAAGAGCAATTTATTTGCTATTTCCCATGTGACGTTAGCCTGGCAGTTATCTTCACACATATTTTACCTAGAAGGCACTGGGCTAGGAAATCTGAAGTGAGTTATGAATGTTCGCTGGTCATTCTAAATTTGAGGAAAATCAACACACCTGGAAAAGAATGTAGGCAGAAAGTTCTATTGCATTTTCACCTTTAGCTTTCTCTTCCAATTCTGGAAAATAATCTTTGATTATTATCTTACTGTCGATTCCAGGTAGCTTTTTTTTTTTGAGACAGGGTCTCACTATGCAGTTTGGGCTGGACTTGTGTTCATTTTTGTACCCCCCCAACCCCCCCAGGCTGGTCTCGAACTCACAGAGATATTCCTGTCTCTACCTCCCAAGTGCTGGGATTACAAGTGTTTGCCACAACACCCACTTCTGGGACCAGATGGTGGGTGCATACATCCGGGCTGGCAGAGAGGGCATACCAGGTGGCATGTGGGGCCAGGGACTGACCTCAGCTCCCTGTGCTTGCCAGGTAGGCGCTTCAGCCTCTGAGCTATCTTCCCTTGCAGGTAGTTTGTAAGACTGCACATACAAATTCTGTAGCAATCTGCACCAGATGCTTGGAAGCCTCTTCACTGGGTTACTGCAATCATTCAGTAATATACATAAAGCCCTTGGCACACACAAGAGGTCATCCGTTATTACCTCATCTCCACACTTCTCAATTTTACTTCTCAATTTTATTAGGGCGAACAGGACAGTACTATACAAAAAGGCAGTAATCAATAAATATTCATTTTACTGTTATTTTACATATATAGAAGTAAATCCTATGTTGAATTTTGTATAAAGCATTATTAACTATGATTCACTTTCAATCTTATTTTCATGGATTTGGTAAAATAAAAGTTTATTTCAGCCACTATTGATAGAGGAAAAAATATTCTTAAAAGCTAAAAAAAAAAAAAAAAAAAAAGGATATTCTTATTCCCAATGAGAAAATGGGAAAAAGTGCTCCAAATAACACAGTCCCAATATAATTTAACAAGGGCAGTCCACGTATACGACTTTAAATCTTAAAAATTTATTACGGTAAGACACATGGCCATTAATCATCTTGAAGAGGCTCATCCTGTTTTCCATGCTCTTATCCCATTGTTCTTGCCGCTTTTCGAAGCAGTCCTACGTGTCCTCTTGCAAGAGGTATGATAAAAAAAATACGGTGACTACAGATGCCCATCACCATCCAGCACGAAGCAGGCTGGCAAGAACCCGAGTGTGGGGTTTCCTCGGCCTCGTTCTCATTCTCCCCATCCCGCCCCTGGCAACTTCTGGCTCTTCCCTGGAATCCAAGCGACCACGAAAGAGGAGCACGTTGAAGCCACTCAGGACCTGAAGGCAGTCGGGACGGAGCAACTTACGAGACAGGGCTTCCAGAACAGCTTTAGAAAGCGGCAAGAACGATGAGGTATCTTTTGCTGCGATAAAATTTAAAATATTTAAACATTTCCCGCATTTTTGATCACTCCTGTACATTAGAGCGTTCACAAGCCGGGGCTAAACTCAAACCTACCGACCCCGTTCGGTATGTCTTCAATTACACAAACTACCGCGGGTAAAGGTAACACACCTGTAGAGTGCATGGACGAGCGATCACCGTAATTGCCTACAAAAGTAGAAATGAGAATAACTTTCTTGGCTTTGCAGAAAATAGACACTCGATACCTGCCGACTTGAAGCGGCACGCGAGGCGCGCCTCCCGGTCCCGGCAGCCGTCGCGCCTGCCCACCGGCCCCCGAACCCCTCGTCCTCGCGTTCCTGACCCGCACGCCTAGGGACCCGTGGACCTCAGGGGACATTTAGAGGCGGACCCCGCACGGAGCGCGGGAGAGCCGCTCCCAACGCCACACGTGACCTCCTGCTCCTAGTCTGGGGCAAATCACACTTTACATGACAAAGTTATGACTCAAGTAGCCCCGGGGACTTCCTGTAGCCTTCGGCCACGGCCTCCGAACACAAAGCGGTTTCCCAGCGAAACAGCTAAACGCGGTCACCGAAGCCCAAGCTCCGCCACAGCCAAAGCTCGCTATTAAAGGCCAATGGGCACGCAGAATTCCCTTTGGCTCCCGCCCCCTTACGCCGGCAGTATCCAATCGTGTTTCTCCATGCTGAGATCAACGCCTAGGATTGGTCATAGGCAGAACCGGCGCGGGACCACCACGCACGGGCGGCGCACGGAGATTTGTCCGTCACGTGCGCCTGCTGAGCCCCTCGCGGGGCCCGGGGGGCGGGGCCGCGGGCTGCTGCGCCTGCGCCGTGGGTGTCCTCGGGGAGCAGCTCCCTTCGCCGCCACCGTCGCCGCTGCCGCCTCCTCCTCCATCATCATCGCACCCGCGTTCCGCTGTGGAGATCCGCGTCCGTGTGCCGGGTGAACAATGAAGCAGAGTTCCAACGTGCCGGCCTTTCTTAGCAAGCTGTGGACGCTGGTAGAGGAAGCCCACACCAACGAGTTCATCACCTGGAGCCAGGTAGGGCCGGCGCGGCGGCCTCGGGGCGCCGGGCTCCCCGCCTCCCGCGCTCGCCGGCCCGCTCGCTCTCCGTC